TGCATAATAGAATATAGCTTTAATATATGGATTAAATTTTCCATTATAAAACACGAAACTTCAGAAAGTATTTGATACAGAATTACTATAGGGCTGGGAAGACAGCTTGGTGATCTAAGCACCTCCTGGTAAGCGTAAGAACCTGGGTTTGATCCCCAGTACCACATGCTGTGTAGGCTCCAGAACCCTGGGTATACTGTGCCAGCCACAGAAATTGGGTGTGGTGGCACACACCTGTAATCCCTGCACTGGGGAGGCTGAGACAGGAGAACCACTAAGAATCGGAGCTATATAGCAAGACCCTGTACCAAATAAATAAATAAAATAGAAATAAGTAGAATTACTATAAAAGAAAAGCCATTTAAAAATCTTGTCTTGCTGTTTACTTTGAAATATCTAAATTTTAAAATCAATAGAACGTACTATGTATCATATATAAAATAGCTATGTGCACATGCACACACACACCTGCACATGGCACACCCAAGGCCTAGTCATCAGTCCTTCCCCACATGACCACGTGAGCAGGAGGAGGTGTGCAGTGCAGGAGAATGCAGGGTGAGTGCAGCCTCTCACTCTGCAGACAGCCGAGGCCTTGCATGGGCAGCATATCCTAGGCTCCTGAACAAGGCCTGTTTCTTTTCTGCCCATTTTGTATTCATACGATGTCTAACCCACAGTTCTGAGGTTCATCTCCCAAGAGCCACACAAAAGCCTGGGTTCCCAATAATTACCAAGCAACCAGAAAATGGTTCACAAAGGCTTCTGTTGGCTTTTGGATCTTACCAGAACATAAAAAAAGATTTCTTACAAAGACCAATTTCTTTCTATCACAGCTTTTCTAAGCAAAACATTCTATAAAAAATGCTGCTTAGGAGATGTGACAAGATACACAAGTTACTTGTCTTCACACACTGGGACAAAGGCCAGGACAGACTGCTCAGTGACCAAGTTGAAATCATGCACATCCTGCAGAAGGTGGCAGACTAAAATTTGAAAGGTCACACTCCTCTAAGTTTTCTAGTCAAAAATAAATACACTAGTGCCAAGCAAGCAATCAACAAGGGCATATATAACATGTCTCAAGCTTTTAAAGACCACAAATAATCTTCATCTAATGGCTATGTGCCTTCCACATTACATAAAAGTGAGCTAGTCAGCAATTTTCCCTGAAAGATAATATAACACTTTTGAAAATAGAGGACTTGTAGAGAGATGCTTCCTAGGAAGGACTGAAGGATTGAGGTCTCCCTGCAAATCACGACCAGAACCCCCCAACTCAAGGTTTGAGAACCCTGAATGCAGCAGACAGGTACAAATGGCATTTTAAAAGCATTCACTCCTGACACAGAGCCACTTACATCCATCCACACCAACTATAACACCAAATACTGGATTTATCACAAGAAGGAATCCACAACTCATGGCAAAAATCTAATCTTGCTGATACAAAATCAAGGAAAGACAGAAATTATCCACTCCTTCTGAACACTTTGTTTAACAAGCATTCACCAGAAGACTACAATAGGCTATGTTTCATGCAAAAAGAGCCCAAAGGATGAAAAGTCTATCTCTATTTCAAAAGCAGGCAAAACAAAAACTGGCAGCAGGGTTAACTAAAAAGCCAAAGTTCACAGGGATCCTAGACCAGGACTTGTTTTTGACCATTTAATGATGACAATCTTCACTCAAGCAACCCTCTTCCCATACAGCAAGGTTTTGATTACTTGTGTACCATTGTGACAAAATATAATTTCATTCACCCCCTGCCCCTACAAATGCCACTCGTCCTAGTCTTAGGTCCCCATAACCTTGGGCCTGAAACAGAAAAGGCTCCAAATTACAAACTTTTCACCTCCTCACAGTACATCCAGTACTGCTGACACAGTATCTCTAAATATATCTTAGGGGAAACTCAGCCACCTTCTCTACCCACTAAGAAAGGAAAGAAAGCTCAGTAGTGTGTGTCCCAGATGCTCACAGATGTAGGCCTCCCACTGCAAGCAACCTGGCTCAGCACAGGACCTCAGAACAGATACAGAATTTTGCAGTGAAACAGGTGTCAAAGGAAGCAGTTGGAATGAAGAAATGCAAACAACTTCAGGAGCATATTAGAACTGTTCAATCAAATTATGGAAAAAAAAAAGAACTGTTCAATCATACTCAGAATGCATATAACAGGACATTTCTAACCAATTAAAATTGGCAAGAACTATAATTGAAAAGCTGATACTATGCCATGTGGGAGGATACAGGGAAAGGGGTGTTCTTATACACCATGCTGAGTAGTACAGATCAGTCAAAGGCCTTTGTGGAAAGAACCGTGGCAATATTTATCAAAATTTAAAATGCCTGGGCCTGATTTGGACATTCCACTTATAAATGCGCAACCCAAAGGACACCATGTGCACAGCACAAGGGGGCTCAAGGAGCTATGCACTGTCGGGACAGGGCTGCGGAGTCAGCAGTGCAGCGTCACATGGCTTTCGCAGGCAAGCAAAGGCTATGCTGCTGCACATGATCTCTAAGACACACTGCCACATGGATGATGCCACCTCGTGCACTTGCAACTGCTCTCCCTACCAAGACAATGACACAAACACACATACAACTGCTCGTATATGGAAAGAAAAATCTCTGCAAGAATATGGAAAAACAAGGGGCCGGGGAGATAGCTCGGTAGAATAAGTGCTTGTCTGGCACGCGCAAGGACCTGAGTTCAATCCCCAGTTCCGCAAAAAAAAAAAAAAAAGAATATAGAAAAACATTTACTAACACTTGATTAAGGCAAAGGGGATCTAAGCTCAGTGGTAAAAAGACTTTTTTTCTTTAAAACCACACATCATTTTCTATTATCTGAAACCTTAAGAGTATGCATTATTGTTCAAATTAATGTCTCGCATAACTTCCCTAAACAGATGGGGAGCAGGCACCGCATCGTACTAGTTCTTCCGGGGAACCCTCTGCCCTCCCCCCTCCCTAAGTGGGCAGCACTCCAGCTGTTCACTTGGAATCCAATGCTCCCCCACTGCAATTCCTTTAAGCCACACTCATTTTTCAAGGCCTGCAAGGCTCGAAGCTCTGCAGCAACCACCACAGAATCAGAAATGAATAAATTTTTTCAAGTCCACAACATGTTTGTGACATCACACCACCTCCTTCAAGGTGAAGGCCAGACAGACAGTCCACGACCCCTCCCTTCCACTCCAGCAGCGAACAGGCTGCAAACTCTACATGCATCTAAGGACAACACTGCGTGTGAGGAGGAAGAGCCCATCGGAACTTGAACAACTTCCTTTCTACAGCGGACACCTGGGTACAGAGGGGCACATGACAAACACGACCACCCCAGGCTCCTTCCAGACAACTTGAACAAGGCCTGAACTGCTCAATATTAACGTGACATCCTCTACTGTGCCCTCATTGGTTCTAACTCCCATGAGCTTTGTTTTCTCCCTCAATCCAATCCAAGTGGTCTCAAAGGATCAGGAACAGAAACAGGTATCCTCACTCAGAAACAAATATTTTGGAGGCTCACAAAAAACTGTCAATGTTTACAGAAGGAAAGGAGAGACTGAGCAAGGATTAGGTAATATCTGACCAAAGAATAATATTTTCGGTAGATAAAATTATTTATCTTGTTTAAAAATGTTTACCTAACATCAAAGGGACTTAGTTACTACCATTTCACATGTACTCCCTGAAAGAAATCATTCTGATCTCTCCTTCAGCCAGTCTTAAAAGTCATGAAAATCTGTAAACTATGGAAGATACCACCAACACAGAATCACATTCAATCACTTATGTCATATCCTGAAGAAGTGAAATGCTTTACTAAAAGTATCCTCAACTTCTAAAACATAAGTAAAATATGTGATTCTCAAATCCAAGAAAATTACTTAAATTAAAATGAATAAAAAATTTTTAAAAGAAAACTTATTAGTAATATAAACCTGATATGAGAAAAAAATATGAAACTCGAAAACTTTCAGAAACTTCATTTTGTTTCTGCCAAAACAATATATAGCTAAGTGGAAAGAGAAACAGGGTGAAGGGTTGTAACTGAAACAAATACACGAAAGATTCTTTAGGAAAAGACAAAAGATATGTTTTAAGAATCTTATTTAGTGGGCCAGCGAGATAGCTCAGCAGACTAAGCACTTGCTTTGGCAAGTACGGGGACCAGGGTTCGATCCCTGATCCCGCCTGTCACCTGGGCTTAGGGGCACATGCCTGTAATCCCAGTGCTGAAGAGGCTGAAAACAGGAGAATCACTATGAGTCTGAGCTGCATAGTGAGACCCTATAACAAATACATAAAATGAAAAGAATAAATAGAAAGAATCTTACTTAACTAAGATATGACAGTTAAGATTAGAACATTTAGGGCCAGCCAGATAGCTCAATGGATTACAGCACCTGCTTAAACAAACACAGGGGTCAGGGGTTCGATTCCTGTGCCGGTCCTGCCCCCGGGGTGTGCTGAGACAGCGAATGAGACAGGGCATAGTGGCGCTTGCCTATAATTCCAGCAGTTGGGAGGCTCAAAAACTGGCGGATCACTACAAGTCCAATCTGTGTAGTGAGACTCTGCAGACCCTGTACTAAATACATTTTTTAAAAATTAGAAAATTTATAATTTTTTCCAATGTTCACTCATTTTCATTAAGTCAAAAGAGTAACCACACAAATGGAAAATTAGTATTTCTTAACCTTCAATGCACTGTGAAAACACTGAGGTATGTGGGGTTTTTTGGAAGCATAGTTTACTATTTTTCAGTCTCAACAAACTTCTTTTCTGGTTAAACAGCATCTAGAAGTTAAACTTTCTTGGGGCGTCTTACATCTGTATAAAATACAGCATGGCCCATCATGAGCTACCTTCTAATGACAAGAGCATGAAGCCCAGTTCCATATGTAGCTTTCCATTGTCTTCTCAGGGAATTAATTCCACCTTTTAAATTAAACTTAAATCGTTTCCAGGACAATCTGCAAACTTACAGTGTTAGTTGGATCTTCCTGCAAAATTCGATCATACAGCTGTATAGCATCATCATACCTATTTAAAAAGAAACAGCAAAACTCCTTACCTTAAAAATGTAGTGATAAGCAGTAAGGACAGAAAAAGATTAACCTGGCAAGGCTTTAACTGCATCCAAAATCCCTACTTAAGTCTTTCTACGTCCATCAAATATTCACCACATTCTAAATTGTTTAAGGAAACACATCACATCAAGTACTTACCAAAGAATGTATCCCCCAAATATTAACTCAACGGGGCTAAATACAAAGGAATAAACTAGCAGCTACTCAAACCAGAGCCTGGAAGAGTGAGCACTGATGTATGTTAGGGCTTGAGTAGACAATTGCAGAAAGATGGGTAATGGAAACAGGCAGATGGAGCTCCCTTCTGCCTGCATTAATAAGTCTCGTATCACTGGCAATGCCAAACAGTATGCATATGTCTCCTGCTCTTGCTGCACAGACTATACTTGATGGTATTCTCATTACCTGGTATCAGTGATCTTCCTGACCTGCCAACACAAGCATAAATCTATTCTGTTGTTCCTTTTTATTTTGTTGGGGGCCTGCCCATTAGCTCAGCTGTTTAAGTGAGTGCTTAAATGAAGTAGTCAGGCTCAGGATGCTGTGGTTAGATCCCCAGATCCTCAAGCCTTGCCAGACTTGCCCTGAAGGCATCCTGAGCCAGCCAAAAAAAAAAAAAAAAAAAACCTTTTGGACCTTTTTATTTTGTTGTTAGGATATGTATTCCACTGTCTCCTTATGTTTTGCAGCTAGATATCCATAGCAGTACATCAGCTCAGCAGGGCTTTCCACTAGAACCTCCACTTTTCTCATTCTGTTTACATTCTGTTTGGCTGATGACAACCGAATATTCAACACAAAAAAACAGAAGTCATATTTGATCATTTGCCTTCACCCCTAAAATGGAACGGTGACCCCTTTTTGTGGCTCTCCATTTCTCCCATCCATCCTATTTGGCCACACTGCAGTTTGCAATGCTAGTCTCAAATGCTGCTTTCTTCCTGAGACTTCTGACTACACATCCTTGTTAAAATGTTCTAATGGACAAAGCCAACTGCTACTTTTCCTCCTAGTCTTAGGATGGATTCCCTGTGCCTCTCTGCAGTTCCTTAACAGGACAAATGAGGCCCTACACAGTCTGGCCCTCTCCTGTATCTCCAGCTGCATCCTCAGCCAACCCCTGCCACACTTCACTTTCTAGTCCAAGTGAACTCTAATTCACTTGGAGTTGTACACAGGTGTTTTGGGAATTACCATGGAAGAAGAGGAATAGGCCAAACAAGGCCTTGTCACTCTCAAATGGAACAGATTGTCTTTTCTCCTTTTCCCTTTCTGTGTGAAATGTATCCTTGTAAAGGGGGTTTAATTTTTGAAGGTTGAAAACTCCTGGGTTAGAGGAAGATGATACCTTCCATTTATTTTGTTTTGAATGTGTGTTTGTATATATCTCCCAAAACAATACTAAGAAGTTGGCAAATCTTTATTGCAAAGAACTGAAGCTAAAAAGGCTTAAAAGAATTTAAATAATTTGTTGAGCTTTTTCAAAAGCTAGAAAATGCAAGAACCAAGATTTGAAGCCTATTCTTATTCCAAAACATGATCTAATTTCATTGGGCCAGAGACAACAAAAGATAAGACTTCATGTCAAATCCTATTTCCTGGGAGAAACTGGCAAGATTTGTGCTGAAAAGCACTCTGACAACTATTTCAGAACTCAGCAACAAAAGACTGTGCACAATTACAAATGTGTCCTTGTGTCAGAAAACCTAAATAAAGATTCTACATTTATCATTTTTTAAATACAATCACACTGTTTGGTAGATTAGGTTACCTTTCCATGGCTTCAAATCTCATGCCTGTTAATCGCTTGACTCTGTGGCTGCCAGGGAACTGTCTTCTCAACTCCTGGAGACAAAACTGAAAAAATAACAGACAAAACAAAGAGCTGAAGATGAGTCATTACATTCTATATCCTAAGTGGGCCATAAAAAATGATCTATCTAGTTTTTACTGTGCCCTGAGGTTACTAGTGAGTCTCGTCTACTGTCTTTGATGGTTTTCATGTTTTGTTTTGTTTTCTGAAGGTTATTTTCTTTTCTGTGGTGGGGACTGAATCAATGCCTCAGGTGTGTTAAGCGAGTGTCCTGCCACCGCCACTCTCCATTTACTGTTAAGAATACACTCAAAGCTTGTCAGGGAAAGCACTCAACACAAGGCACACATCTCTCTGAAACATGTTTATTTATTTTTTATAAATCAAGTGAAATACAAAGTGTAATACCTACCAATGCCAGGTCATCCCGACCATAGTCCAGGGCTGCAATCATCACCTGCTCATATATAATCCAAACTACATATGGAAAGAGGAGAAATAATTGAATTTAACATTAAAAATTCCCCAAACAGAAATTAATAAATCTACTGATATTTTAGAAAACATTATCTATAACTCTAAATTAATTTATTACATTATTTCTAGAATTTAAAAAGTATATTTATACCTCTCAGCAATATAAAATGTTTTAAGAAGGTAAAAATAGCCAATTAGTATTTTTACTATTCTAAAAACTTCTCTATGAAATACATTTTGGCCAGATCAGAATGTCTTTATGAAACGCACTTTGGCAAGACATTTGGCAGCCTGTGAGCTTTAAAACAAAAATGCCTCTTTGATATCCTCTCTACACACAATTATAAATTCTCAAAAAAAAAGTTATCATTAAATTTTTTGAAACAAAATCACAGATAATGGTTTGACAGCAGAGAAAACATAATTGAAGACAGATTTAAAAACAATCAATGAAGAACCATAAATGAGCTAAGTGTTGAGCCTGAATGTAGTAAAGTAACTCAGGAACTCACTATCATCTCCAAGCTTAGATGCATACTCATTAATTAATTCTTCTCCAACTTCCACAATTTGTTCACTATTTCTTGAGTTTTCTTCTCTCCATTTTCTCATTTTATCTCTCATTTCTGAAAAAAATAAACAGGCAAGTTATTTATATGTGTGGACACAAATACACATACATGACAAATGTCAAAACATGACAACATATAAACTTCTGGTTAGTGAGTTTACGTATGTAAATAAGCAATTTCATTACAACATGGTATTCTGGTGAAACTGATAAAGTGGAAAATCAACTGATTAAGAGCAGCAGACCTTTTAGAAGACCAAAATGGCCCCCAGCCAGGGTTACTACTGCCCTAAAAAGCAGGGCAGGCTCAGTCTGCAACACACCCTGTGCTCCTCAGAAAGGGACAGGTCTCAACTTTATTTTCTACTTTGGGGGACAGAGGCTATTTTTAGAGTTTGATAAAAGCTAGGGACTGTTTCCCCAAAGTCCAGGAATGCATACAATTATATTCAGCTATGTCAAAGTATCCAAAGTGTTCCTAAAGTTCATTTAGTAATCCAAGAACATAAAATTTTTAAAATCAGAGTATCACATTTAGGCCATCAGGACTAAAGGGATTCAGCACAAACTTCCTTCATGAGTGCTATGCGAAAGAAGGAAGGAAGGAAGGAGAAAGGAAAAGGAAGGGGAAGGGGATAGAAAGGGAAGAAAGGAGAGAGAGAGAGGGAGGGAGGGAGGAGGGAAAGAGAATTAAAGGAAATATTTTTTATTGCACTTAGGACCTTGAACTTGCCAGGCAGGCTCTTAAACCACTGAGCTATCTCCCTGGCCTAATATTTTTTTATTGTATTGAAACAAAAAATAATGTAAGGATGCACAGCTTGAGGTACTATGTTTTAGCAGCAGAAATGGGCTAAGAAAAAAATTAACAGTATTATGAATGAAATACTTAAAACTAGCTAAGCTAATCCTTTCTTCCACAGTGTTACAGACTAAATGTTTAGTGTCCTCTAAAACTCCTATGTTGAATTCCCTAGCCTCTAGAATTTTCTGTCGCTTTAAACCACAGTCTATGGTATATTTATCATGGTGGCAGGAACTGAGACACACAGTTAAGGTAGGATTAACTGTCCAACTCCCCATATGCATGTTTTATTTTTTCATCCATCTGAAAATCTTGAAGTACAACCTTCATTCTTCTTGCTGAATATTTGTCGAACAGTTAAAATGAACTATGAGCCTAAGAAAACTTATAGGAGAAGCACATGAGATCTTTCACTACTACTGAGTTCCTACAGTTTGAAACCTACCAAAAAAAAAAAAAAAAAAGAAAAGAAAAACCTCACATGATGAAAACAGACACTGAGTAACCACTAAGAAAGGACAAGAGCGAGATGGGTCTGCTGGAGAATCGATGGGTCTGCTGGAGAATCGTCAAAGCACCTTGGCTAGAAGCATGGACAGCCCAGGACTGACTAAGCTCCATTCAAGCAGGCAGGTAGACAGAAACAAAGCCCAGCCCACAATGCTAGTGTACACTGCACAACACGCAGCGCTTCCGGTTTGTGCTGACGCCAATCTTGGTGACTATCAGGGGCTATCTCTGGCCATTTCTCCTTCCCTAGACCACCTATCTCACACCCAGCTTCAGTCTTCCCTCCTAAGAATGGACCCCCAAGGCCAGGACTCCTCCTCTTAGATAATGCAAAGTGCTATAGAAGTCTGAATTTCTAGGAAAATAACTGATAACTATTTCAGCCTCTGGCAGTAGATAAAAGTTTTTTTTCTGGCACTTCTTCAAAGCTGTCCAAAACTGTCATTTTACCCTAAGTGCCCCACAAAGGCACACTCCTCAAAGTCACACCCACTTTGTTACAACTATGAGGGGGCTGCTCAGTGCTGTCTCAGGCTCCTTCCTACCACTGTGTGAGCTCTGTGATGACCTAAAGTTCCAAGGGCAGGCGGTGGCTGGGGAGATCCCATTCCTCCCAGGAGACCAGGAATCACCGTGGGGGACAGCTGTAGGGTTGCAAGCTACCACCCACTCTGCTGAGCCCTTCTGCCCAAACACCTTCCTGCCTCTATGCCTACAGCAATCCACTGTCCTGTATATGCTCAAGTGCCACTAGAGGCACTCCTCTGAACCCATACACTCCTTTTCAAAGGCTGATACCTGTAGGATAATACATTTTAAATTATTCACAGACCATAAACTTGTCTAGTCAGACTGGCTGCAGAATACTGGACATAGTCATTCCTGAAGAAAAGGCCACTTAATTTGAAAAAGTATTACTTTATCTTAATGTACAGAGAACTCCAGCACAAGTGTTCTTCAAACTGTATACTGCAATCCATCAGTGCAAATGAATTTAGTGTATTTCTTCCAGCAGTTGGGAGAAAAACAAAACAATAAGTAGAAGAGAATGCACTGCTCAAACATGCCTTTAAAGCAAAACTCGAGTTTTAATTTATTACTCGAATACTCATGTACATGTATGACTACTTGAGCATGAGTTAATTTGCAAAACATGTATTTCCTACTGTGGATTATGGCTATACAGTTTTTTAAGAAAGAGTATACAGTGGTACCTTGGTCCATGAACTCACTTTGTTTTGCACTTTTGGGGAACATGGGTTTATATGGGGAAGATGGCTTTGGCTGTGCTTGTCACCTGATGTAGAGTTGAGAACAGAAGCAAAATTCTGCCCAACGCTTTTGTTTGTGAACTGAATTATTTGCAAACAGAAGCACTCACAAACCAAGGTATTATTACTGCACCTTTTAAAGCATAATTTATACAAACAGGTTTGTATTTTAAAGGATAAACAGGAGATGTCTTATGAGAGAAGAGAGACAAAGATGCCATCGATTTGCCTAGGAAAGTGATGGTGGGCCTACAGCACACGTGCTGCAGTGGGCTGTTTGTATCAGTGAAAGCTCTAACTGGTGTGCTGGATACAGCAGACAGAAGGACAATGAAGAGTTCAGTTTGCAGTTTTTCTGGAACATCAAGGGGACATGTTCTGTAGAAAACTGTAAATAAGAACTTTCCATTTGGAACTGAAATCCCAGGATCTGTTCTGTGAAATACACATGGGACTATGAGTGTCTTGTTCAACTCTATCCTCAAGAACTGCAATAGTATCTAGTGCAAAGTACTGATACAGGCCAATATTTATACCTAGACATAGATTAAAGGTATTCTTAACCATTTTTAGACTTCTTTCATGCTGATGAGATACTATAATCATTTTTCCTCCAAAAACTGGCACTCTGAATGCACAATAAAGTTTGCACATAATTTCATAGACCACTTAATATTTACGCCTGCATAAGATAGAAAACTGCTGGTTTCAGATTTAATAATAAGATAATACATTAAGAAGAAAGGTAAGGAGCTCACACAAAATAATTATACCAAAATATAAAGAGCAAATGTATGTGGAAAATTCGGCAAAGAAAGACAATGGTGAAAGAATGTTATTAAGAAACCAAAGAAAGTTTTCTAGGAGTAACCTACAATTACAAATTAGCAAGATGTACAAAACACAACCACTGTCATTGGCTTTAGGTTTCCCTGAAGATCTTAAAAGAAAGTTAGGACATCTTCAAGTAACCAAGTTGTAGTTCTTGAAGAACTAAAAAAAAGTAAGCAGGGCCAGTGGGCAAAAACAAAACTCTCCCAAATACTATGTTTAAAAAAAAAAAAAGTAATGCCTATTAAGTCAGGCATTGAGCTAAGTGTCCTACCCACGTCCTGACTAAATACATATTCTCAAAAAACTTGAGGGCCAGAGAGATAACTCAGCAGACTAAGTGCCTGCTTAGGTAAGCACCAGGTAGCACTGGCCCTGACCCCTGGGTGCGCTAAACTGCATGAGTGCAGGAGTGGTGGCACAAGCCTGTAATCTCAGTGCTGAGGAAGCTGAAAACAGAAGGATCACTATGAGTCTGAGTTGCATAGTGAGACCATGCACAAAATACAAAAACAAAAATAAAAAAAAAAAACCTGACTACTCTCTTTACTCATCTACCTGACAGATGATCTCTATAGGCTAAACATGTATTTTACTTCTTCTGTAGAGCCTGTTATGAACTTAGTGTGTCAGACTTACTAGATAAGAGTTTTAAATAGGTAATGAATTTTCCTATCCCAAGAATTATAGCACTCTTTGAAATACCCAATTCATGATCTTACTCAGTGGAATCCTTAAGGACACAGCTCTGATCCGGCTCCTCGCAATCCTAAATGCAACCCCAGCTAGGTCTTCCAGTGCCCTCTTTACCCTAAGCTAGCAGGTGATTCTAGAAGAATCTACGATACTCTTCTCTTACAATAGAATTCTGACTCTAGACAGATCTACACATTTTACAAATAAGCAAACTATTCTATTAGTTATCTAAGTTCACCTAAGTGACATTAGAAATATTTCAAAACTAAAACTTGAAAAATGATTTAGACTTGTACACCTTGTTCTGACAATTTGCTAGTGTTTATTATGAATCCTGTTAACAATTCATTCAGTTCCTCCCATGTGTCAGGCACCAATGTGAGATGTGAGCAAAACAAGCTGCTTCCCTGTCATTCTAGGAGAAACAAGATTTTACCACAGGTTTGTGTAATGTTTCAGTAGTATGGGAACACAAAATCTAGAGGTTGGTGTTGCTTTTGTTTTTTTGGAATGTTTTCCTTTTCTTTTTAAATTTTGGTGAAGAGATAGAGAATGAATGGTGAGGAGTATGACTCAGGAATGGTGAAGTTTAATGGGGGTAGAATAAGGGCCAAAGGAAATAGCACCCCGGGAGAAGGAACACTAGGTCCCCAGACCACCATTTAGAGAATGAAGAGGTCAGCACAGCCAGCAGGAGGGAGCAGGGGGACAGCTGAGGGAAGGCAAGAGCCAGGTCAGAAGGGCAAGGACCTACCCTTTTACCTAGCACCTTACCAAGCACTTCGACAGGGCTTCTCTCTTGCTCCTCCAAAAAACTATGAAGCAGTTTTTATTATTCTAAACCAAATGACTTAATCTTCCTTAGAACAACCACAAGGTAGATCCAAGCCACTTAACTAAATCACCTTGTCTGCTGACAGTTACACCCCTAGCTGTGCTACTACTATGATTAGAAAACATGTACAAATCCTCACTTTCATAATGCTACTTTTGACAAGATAATTACTAAAAAGCACAACTACCTATCGACCTACCATCTTGCTAAAGACATACTCTGACACAGCCTTTAAAACTATGGGTTATAGGTTTGTCTTCTTCAGTAAGGCCACGACCTCCTTGATAGTGGCGAATGTATACTTAACTTGATATATGAATGATTCAGCACTAAGCACTTATGGCTGTTAACAAAATGGATTCCCCCCCCGCCAATAAAAAGAGAACTGTTTGTCTGGCACGTTCAAGGGCTCAGAACCAATATACTAGTGAATTCAGTTTCAGTACAAAGGAATTTTGTCTTTCATGTGCTTAGAAGTTTATGATACTGTGCACACTTGACTAACTCACAAAGGAAGTGAAAATACAACTTGCAGTCCACATGGTACTAGGCTGTTACCTGTAAATACCCCACCAAGGCACTCATTCAACATATGAGCTACTAGAGTAGACAGCCCTGTGCCGAATGCTGGGAAAGTGTATTTCAAGAACACCAATTTCAGCCTTCATTGAAAATGAAGTCCCATCTCGCAGGCACCAAAGATTCTGAAAAGTCTTTCTAGAATAGCCCAACTGTTAGCTGTTTCTAGATCTGAAGAACATACTCCCGTCTGAATCAAGCAGAGTCAAGACTCTCGGGTGACACGTGTGCCTCTCGGAAAGGGACTCGGTGCGGTGCGGGAGGCCGGGGCGAGGGGCTGCGCAGCCGAGCCGGGCCTCAGGGGACCGAGGCACTGTGGGGGCGTCCCGCACGGCGCTCCGGGCTCGCAGGCCGAGCGTCGGCCCCTGCTCCGCCTCCACGCCCGCGGCCCGGGTGGGGTCCTCGTCCCCCAGAAGCGGCCAAGCCGGCCTGGCTCCACAACAGCCGCAGAAGCCACAGCGCGGGCCCGGCCTGCGAGAGCGGCGGCGGCACGGGCTCCGGCGCGCAGACGCGCTGCTGATCCGGGCGGCCCGAAGCTGCTCTCCGGCCCCGGCCGCTAGCGGGCGCCCACGGCAGAAGACAACCGCAGAGCCAGCGCCCAGGGCACTGGGCTTTCCGAGCCGTTTCAAGGCTCCGTCCTTCCGCGCGCCCGCCCAATCTTACCTTCCCAGGTGACATCGTACAACTCTGAGACCTTCGCCATTTTCCCGGAACCGTGAGGCACCGCGCTGAGGGGCTGGGCGACGCGGTCACATGACGTAGCCGGGACGGGCTAATGACGAAGCTACTCCTTATTGGTCAAATGGGAGGGGGCGGTGTGCGCTGCGCACGTGCGAGGGGCTAAACAGCTAGGACGGGGAGGGGGTGGAGCCGAGGAGCCGGCTGTGCTGGCGGGGCCGGGGCGGGGCGTGGAGGTGGGGCAGGGGCGGGGGCAATGGCATGGGCGGGGGCGGGGCCTGGGCGGGGGGGCCTACCGACGCTCGGGGCCCTGCGCCTGCCTAGCTCGGCCGGGTAGTCCAGCCAGCTGTCCTCCGCGGCTCTCGCTGCGCTGCGAGGTCTGAGTCCACCGAGCTGGGGGAGTGCAGCGGATCAGATTGTTCGCCCTGAGCCTGAGCCACCTTGCTGCACCTCCGGCCTGCGCCTGGCATGGCCCCAATCTGAGCTGCCGCGGTCGCAGAGGCCACAGCACGGGGACCGACGGCCGCAGAGGGTCTGGACAGCAGCCTGAGCCGGGAGCTGGCCCGCCTTCGCAAGCAGAGGCCGGCCTCCGGCCCTCCACCCAGGTCTGCGGGCACGCCTCCCTCGGCCCCCTGCGCCCGCTGCGCGAGGACCCGGGTCTCCGTGGCCGGCGTGGGGAACACGGCCCGGTGCAGCGCTGCTCAGTGCGGTGGGCGGAGGTCAGGCTGCGAGGTGCGGCATACCCTGCGGGAACAAGCGGGAGCGAAGCCTAAGCACCGCCCGGCCTCTCCTGGGACCGAAGCGTTAATACAGGACGGGAGAAGGCGGACACAGCAAGCGCGAGCGTTTTCTGAACGGACCACGAGGTGGAGGGAAGGGAAGGGGCCGGAAAGGGGACCAAGGCGTGCGGTGCACGTGCGCCGGCCGCACCAAGGCGTGTAAACTCCGCGTGCTGCAAGCACGCCAATAACAAGTTTTAAAAGGAAAAAAAAAAAAAGAGAAACATCACTGCCATCTGCCAGAAGGAAGTCGCACAAGAAGGAAAGACGAGTGAATTCATAGGCCTCAGTCAGAGTCTGAGCTTCTCTCCAGACCCGTCAAGACTTTTTAAAGAAAACTCTTCCGTTCACATAACGTAGAAATGCCCCGTTCAGAAACCCACAGTTCTCCTAATGCACCCGAGAAGCAGCGTGGCGCCTGAAGAGAACGCGCCGAGGCTCGGCTCGGCTCCGCCCCGCCCCTGAGGAGCGGACGGCTGTCTGCGCGTCGCTGTCCGAGGTAAATCGCTGAGCAGGCTGAAGCTGCCAGAGATGGAGTCCGTGCAGCTCACGTGCAGCGCCCCTCGCGGAGGCCTGGCAGTAGCCGTGCGGCCCGAAGCTGTCTCCTCGCCGCGGTTCTGCCTGCCCGTGCCGCCGGCCTCTTCCATGGTCCGCAGCTGCGCACAGCCTGGCTTCCGGCCCATTGCCCCGACCCCTTGCTCATCCGCTCACAGGTGGTGGAACCGTGAATGACCCTGGGTCCCTTCCTTGTGGCTTACACCACGCTGTCAACACATCCCGCGTTTCACCTCAGCATATTTCATAAAACCATCTGCTTCTCACTGTCTTCACTGCTTCTACCTTAATCTAAGCCACAGCCATCTGCTGCCTAAGTGGTCTTCTCGCCAGCTTTGGTTCATTCTTGCGGCTGTACTGGTCTTTGAAAAAAATCAGACCCCAGGAACCTCCAGCTCACAGCCCTTAAACAGGGCCTGTGACAACAAAAATATGCCGGAGCTCTTCACTGTGGTCAGTCAGGTTCTCTTGTGCCTCTCTTCCTTCCCACTCTTTCCCATGTCCATTTCTCTAACCCGCCAACTCCGGGCTGCCCGGGCCTGGCATTTGCCTGCTGCTCCTCCGCAGGACATGCAGTGACATCCTATTTTTGCCATAGCTCAGCTTTAAATGTATCTACACTGACAGGGGCCTTTTCTGATGATCCAATAAAGACAAACAAAACAGCCTCCAGTTTGTGCCTATCTTGGACACTTTCTCTTCACCATAATTCGTTGGCATCAAGGACAGCAGCATAGCAGAGGAAAAGCTGCCCATGCCGAAGCAGACAGACAGCAGAGAGAGGGATCAAGGGAGGAGGGAGACAGACCCTCCCAGGCCACGCACTAGGACCCTCCCTGCATATATAGTTAGTGAGGGTGAGAATCCTACCAATTAACTGCTAGTTTCAAAAACCTGCTGAAGATTCCCAGAATCATTGCCTTAACCATCTTGTGCATATAAATGTAAGGCTTTGCCCCTGCCATGTAACCTAGCTTTTCTCCTTACCCCCTCTTCATTGACTAATCCTCAAGTTCTCACTTTCCTTTTAATTGTGTTATATGTTTTCATTTTCATTTCTACTTCTGAGTTCTTACACTACAGAGACTATATGATATTCACACATGTGGGTCTGGTTTCTTTAACATATCTTCAAGTGGCATCCACTTAACTATAAAGGCTTCGAGTTTATCATTCCTTATACCCAAGTAATACTCCATTGTATAAAAATACCACGTTTTTCATCCATTCCTCAGGTGACAGGCATATTGGTTGTTTCCAGGATTTAGCTATCAAATTGTGCCGCTATAAACATAGGTACTCACATATCACTATGATACGATCTTTTCACTTCCTCCAGGAAAATTCCCAGTAGGGGCATAGCTGGTTTGAATGGGATTTCTAAGTCCTAGTTTTTTAAGGAGTCTCCACACTGATTTCCATAATGGTTGTACTAGTCTACATTCCCACCAGCAGTGGAGAAGGGTTCCTTTTCCTTTTTCCCCACAGCCTCTCCAAAATTTGTTATTGATTGATTTCTTTGATAGCCCTTGTTTCTTGGGTGGGATGGTATCTCAGTGTTGTTTTAATTTGCATTTCATGGATGGCTAGTGATGTGGAGCAATTTTTCATATATTTATTCACTTCTTTAATTTTGTCCTCTAAGAAGTGTGTGTTTATCTCAGATACTCACTTCTGGAATGGATCTTTACATTTTGGGGCCCTAATGTTTTTTAGTTCTTTATAAATGCTAGAAAGCAGACCTTTGTCTGAGTGTTATTAGTCAAGATTTCTTCCAAATTTGTGGGTTGTCTTTTCCATTTTGTTGGTAATTTCTTTTGACATGTAAAAACTTCTCAATAAGAGTTGGTCCCAGTTGTTAATTCTTTCAAGTATTACCCATGAAATTTGATTTTTGTTCATAAACTCTTTGCCTATCCCTATGTCTTCAAGAGTTCCTCCTACTTTCTCTTCAAGGAGATAATAGTGTTTCAGTTTTAATGTTTAGATCTTAAATCCATTTTGACTTTAGCTTAGTGTATAGTGATAGACCTGGGTCAAATTTTAATTTTCAGCATGTAGAGAGACATTTCCACCATGATTTGGCAAAGGGGCTATTTTTCTTGCAATAAGCAAGTTTGACCCCTTAGTCAAAGATAAGGTGTCTGAATGTGTTCATAGAGGCTTCTGTACCTTCTAATCTATTCCACTGATCCTC